TACACCCTGATTATTTGTCCACCTCATATGCACTTTCCCTTAAAAGCTTACAGAAATTTTAAAATAATAAACGTAAAATACATACACACGTCAGTTATATATCGAACACATTCATTAAGTGATCAAGGGGAATGATTCGAACAATGCGATAACAAAGACTGGTTCTACCCTTGATACTGTTGCGTCATCGAGGTCACGTGACTGGTGTGGCGCCCTCTAGTTTCTAGAACTATCTTGTTTCTTCACGAATGCTCTAGTATTTACTAGATGTAGGGTAGTCGGGTATATAAAAGAGGGGAACAACGTGACGAGGTAATGTAATGTGTGTGTAGATAGTGAGTAATTGAACTGCAGTCAGAAGTATTATTGACGTTCGTTGTTATAGCGTTTGTTTAGCGCGATTGTTGAAGTTGAGTATATCGGTAAAGTTATATTCAGAAAGAATAAACCAGTTTTATTAAGTAAAGACTTGTGTCGTTAAAATTTCGTCGGAACGAAGTTACAGAAAAATCAATTAACAAACGGAGACGTAACAATACTTTTTCGGGCTCAGAATTTCAACCCAAACGACCAACGAGTGAAATTTTGAATGTAATTATAGGCAAAGAAATATTAGAATCATAAGAAAAATTAAGCGGGAGGGGGTGTGGGGGCTTGTCTCGCCGTTTGAACATGCTCTTGTTTTATAAACGATTTCTTTTTTCAAGAATTATCATTCAATATCTAAGGTTTAGGGAATAATGCTTAACTAGTTATGAAAAGCACACCGCCAAACAGAAATCTCTCTCAGACCTAGGTGTACAGAGAAAACATGAAAGTATAATACTGGCATAAGAAAATTCATCCAAAATCGCCTATAATAATAAAAAATAAAACGTGACATTGATATAGCGCAATGAAAATACTCTAAAATATTATTCATGTGATACTTAAGAGCACACTTCAACTTTCAAATTTATTAGGCTTATTACTTAGTTAAGTTGACGCTGTCACTACCATGGTCACACTATGCATCACCTTAGTTTTAGCCTTGAAAAGTGTCATATTAACAGTGTGAATTGGGAATTTTGTACTATCATGAATATAAGGTACTCATCCTTTCAAACTTCACCAGTGCCAGAGTTTCAGGAAAGAAATGAAACATTACAGTAGGTTTTTTACCTGTACATAAAAATAAATCTGGTACTCCGAGTTGTTTTTAAACGTTTTAGTAGCCGAATTAACTAAAGTCTCGTACAGACCTATACTAAGCCTACATCTACGCGGGTTAACCAATCAAAGTTTTATTAGGCCTATTTTCTGTCACAAAAAGCATACTTTTATCGATTTAGAAAATCTCAAAGTTGGTTATCCAATTTTCCATAGCTGTGACAAATGTCAAACTTAGTTACGTAATTTTTTGAAACTCCTTTTAAGCAGAAAAAAGAAAGGGTTTAAAATTATTTTAAATAATAAACTAGAATTTGCCCCCCCCCCCAACTTAGTCCTTATTTTAATGTGAATATGATTTTTTGAATGAGCTGTGAAGGCGAATTACTCAAATTATAAAACAAATTAATAGGTGTTTCGTTTATACTATGATTTTATAATAAACACACAAAAACTGCAATAGGGATAAGCCAACATTTATTGAGCAAACCCAACTTTGGTGATGTAATTACACTAAAGTCCTCTACTATTTACTAAACAACTGATTATGGGACTTCTGTGAATTTTTTTTTATTTATTATTTTCCAAACAATAAGTTATGACACTGTTCTGTACACAAATAAAAAAAGTGGCATTGACTAATTTAGCAGACCCTCACAGATGCAAACATATGTACATACAAGCACTTACTCCTGGAATATACAGCAATCTTGATGTTTAAACACAGCTTCAGTTAATTACCTATTCACACTTTGTATATAGCTATGGATAAATCATGTTGAAAAAGCTTTACAAAATTGCAAGATTGATTATTTGGAACTCTATGATATAGTTTATTAGCAGCACGATAGAGTACAATTTACCAAGTAGTGACTAAATGCTAAATCTTACTGAAACTAGTGTCCACACATTCCTGTTTACATCTCACTGTAAGTTAAAAGCTTTAAATTTTGCAAGTTTGTAGGTCACTCTATAAATTAACAATGTTAGGTAGGTGCCTAGGAATAATTCCTTATAGTTACACTTAGAAAAAACATCAGTTTATACAACTTTAAATAAAAAACTAAACATTTAGGAAAGATAGTTCTAACCATTTGTCCAAATTTTATTTTTCCATTTGTCTACATATCTAGTACTAGACATTTACATCACCACAGATATAGTGATAATTAAAAGTGAGCTTCACATTCATCAGTGACAACACATAAACGTAAGGCTGCTAATACTTTATTTCCCTTTACAAAATTTATTCTTGACATTTGCTTTATAAGAAAATTCACACTTAACTATTTCCACATACGATTGTTAAAAATAATTCCATTAGTACACCAACATCCATCTTAACAAGGAATTTTTAGAAGAAATTATTAAAAAAGTATCACGTTAC